TGGCAGGAGGTCAGGCCGACCCATGTCTGACTTCCTGTCGCTGTGTGACCTTGGCCACACCCCTTAACCTCTCTGAACCCAATTCACAGCGAGATGCGAAGCATCTACCTCAGGGCTGAGTCATTAAGCGAGGGAACCGAAGAAACCCACCCAGCACCACGGTACAGTGGTGGAGCCCCTCTTCCACGCCACCCTGCCTCAGCCCTGAGGTCACTAACAACGCCCAGCCCCCACTAGAGCCCAAGGCCACATCCCCCAGACAGAACACTGCCTATTCCTCAGTGCAGACAGAGCTAATAATTAGCTGTCATGACTTAATAATAAAAGGAGATAATCCATACCACGACGCACATGGATTTAACTAATCTTAATTTAGAGGCAAAATAACAACTCCAAATAGATCAAATGCAAGTTTTTAAGACAACCTGCCAGTGGAGTTTATCTCCATTTTCCAGCACAAGCAAGTTATTGAGTTTCTCCCACTGGCCAAGCTAGTATTTTTTTTTTTTCTTATTTATTTAATTTCTAAGTCTGAAGCCAACATTCCCAGAGCAGCATGAAAATCCTGAAGCTCTTCTCAAACACTTCCCTGAGACATATCTTGCACAGCAGTGGGTCACTGGGACCCCTCAAACCAAACCCAGCCTGCACCCCACCTGCTCTAAGAGCCCCAGGATCCTCCCTGGCCCTCCCCAGCCCAGAGGCATGTGCCCCGTCCTGTCACTCACTGTCTGTCCCCAAACTTCAGAAAACCAGACATTGCGGGTGAGGGGGTCAAGCCTACAAGTGGCAGCTGATAGCTCCCTGCTCCCTCCCCTATAGTGTGTTCTGGTCATAGAAGAGGTGAAAACAGGCAAACCCAGAAATGGGTAAACACGTCCATCCCTTCAGGGGCTCCCAAATGGCAACTCAGGAGGCATCAGGAAGGAGTCGCCTAGAGAATTGTCCCAGATCGGTTTTCCAGATCTTGACAAAAGCCAGCACCCCCAAATGCCACTAAGCACAGTCTCCTGCTTTCCTCAGCATGGCTTTCTAGATGTTTCCATGGCTTGGTCGTCCTCCGGCCTAACCCTGTGACAGCTGGGTTTTCTTCACAGTGCTTCAAAGTAAGCACAGATCAGGAAACTGAGGCTGGAAGAGTAGGAGACACCAGGACCCCAGAGCCACCAGCAAAAGGGACAGTAATGTGACAAATGCCATAGGCCTGGATGCAGGTCATGGTCTGTTGCATGCTGATGCCATCTCTGATGGTGGAATTCCAAGAACCCCGTGGAGGTTTCTTCCCAACACTAACAGGGAGCCCATTGCGAGGAGACCCGTATCAGCTCCTCTGACCCTGGAAAGGAAGAGCATCCATCCGAGACCATCAGGAAAAAGCTCCCTGAGAGCCAGGCACACCTCGCAAGCTCCCAGTCATCAGCAGAGCAGATGAGGAGACTGAGGCTCAGGAGGTCACAACTGGGGCTCAAGGCTGCCAGGGAGCCAGGCTGGGTCAAGTTGCTCCCTTCCTGTACCACTGGACGTGGCTTTCAAACCCAAACGCTCCAAACCCAAACGCCTTCCTCCTCGCCTCTCCCCAAACTCCCCCCCGAGGTGGGCACTCAGCCCGGTTCCCTCTGCCAGTTCTGGAGGCCCCACATCCCTCCCAGGACTGGGGAGTGGGGGGCTCCTGTCTGCCCTGGATGGATGGGACTGTCCTCCAGTAGGGCCTGACAGAGGCCAGGACAGCCACAACGAGCAACCTCAGCCACACACAAGAGTCCCCTGGGCTGAGCAGCCGCCCTGCCCAAGTCAGATCTCCAGGCCTGATGCACACCCTCTGGCCAGCTCCACCCATGGTACAGCTGCCCAGGTTCTCCTGGAGCTGTGCAGATCTGTGTGACATTTCCCCTGGGCTGAGCAGCCGGGGAGACTCTGAGACTCTCAGAGTCCCCAGGTACAGCTGCCCAGGACCTCGGCCCGCACAGAGACAATGCACACAACAAGGTCCAGGCTGCTGCTCCCCACAAGGGACGTCTTCTCCTTCCCCAGGGCCATCTCATTTTAGCAGCCCAGATAGGGAAAGGACCACAAGTGCCCAGTTACTGAATGAAAGAACAAACCAGTGAAAGAGATGACCTCCAACAGAGCTTCAGGAACTTCCTCCTTCTTCCTATTCCTCTACTTTACAAAAAACGAACACTAGCAACTCTGTCTGTGCCCAGCTCCAGAACAACTGTCCTGAGGAAAGGACTGATCCAGGAGCCCCAGACCCTGGTGGCAGACCTGACCACATTCCAAAGCCATCTCCATCCCGGGGACACACTTAAGGCTTGGATGGACCCCACACATTTACAGGGCCAGCACTCTGATCCGTTCCCGGAGCCCCCCTCCCCAGCACCCACCGTCTAGAAGCAACTGCTAGAGAGGAGCGTCGAGGACCATCTAGCCTAAGTGAGGACCGCTGGCCTAGGACAGGCGACCAAGCCAGGTGGCCAAAGCCAGAGTCCCCCAAATGAACGGTCACTTGCTGGCCAGGGACAGCCACACCATGGGGACCGCAGCAGGGCCTGGAGGGTCTGTGGGACACCGTGGAGCCACGGTGGGAGGCAGGCGCTGAGGGTCCCGCAAAGCCAGCGGAGGCAGGGGCATGGGTGGCAGCTGTGCGGATTTCCGGAAGCCCTGGTGGAAAAGCACACAAGACTCCTCGTCCCCTCTTAAAATATAAAGACTCAATTATCTTTGAGCAGCTTGCTTTACACATGAATTGACACATTTATTTTACAATAAATAACTGAAAGTTATCTGTGTTTCCTTTACTGTTAATCTACACAGAGAAATAATAAACAGGGCTTGTCTGCAAAACTGCAAGGGCGGCAGTCCTCAGAATTCAATTAAGCTAAAATAATTAATGCTCCCACCATATTAAATTACTTTACACATTTGAGCCACTGAAGTTTTATTCTTTAATCTTTCCCCTTTTTTTATTAAATTTTTAAAAAGGCAAGGAGAGAAAAGTTGGGACCAGAGCAGGGAGGGAAATAGGAAAATCGGGAACTAGAAAGGGATGCGTGGTGGTTTGTTAAAATGGAATGGTCGGCATAGCTGACACAGCACGCAGACTGTTTTGTGCCTTTGATTAAAATAACATTTTAAATGCTTTAAACAAACATATCTCTTTAGACTTCTAAGGGATTATTTTACATATTTCTTCGAGAATGAAGAAATCCATTCGTCCTGTTGCTGAACAGAAAGGCCAAGAATATCTTTCATTACACATAAAATAAAAATACTGTAGGCTGCTGCAAATATTACTCCCCAAAAAGAAAGAAAAAAACCAGGAGGCGGGAGGGCCACAGGAGGAGGACAAAGCTCCCGGGGGATTAACTTTGCCTTTTATGAAATCACATTTAGCCACTTTCTTGAGCAAACCTCCCCCCTAATCCACGGCCCGGAGCTGGGAAGCACCTACGATGTGCAGAGGATGAGAGACGCTTAGGGCAAAAGCTGCCAAGTCGTGCAAGGAAACCAGAGAGGGGACGAGTGTCCTTGGCCGAGGCCACGCTGAAAGGGGTTTACACACCGACCCTGGGGTACTCATCCCAGGGTCAGAAAACACAGAGAAGGGAACTTCTCGCCTGCTGGCTCGGCCCTGCAGTCACACAGATCTGCGCAGCTCCAGGAGAACCCAGCAGGTACCTGTAGGAATCTGCAGGTCTCCCCCTTCACCCCATGTGCAGAAGGGTAAAGTGAGGCCTGGAGCCACAGTGTTGGATGGGAGTTGCTGTGTGACCCTGACTGCCTCAGAGGTGACAGGTGGTCCTCACCCACAGCCATCTGTCTCCCCTCCAGGAGCATCCGGTGCTCGCAACAGGTTCCAGGGCCCAGACCCATGGGGATCCAGCCACGCATTTTCCCAGGCAGCTACCTACTTGCATGCTACAGAGAAAAGCGGGCCCTGGAGAGAAAAGTTCCACTGGCAAATCATTTATGGAATCCTTCCTGAGAGTCTCATTCACTGTGGACAAATGGGGAAACTGAGGCTCGAACTCCTAGAGTGCTCAACCCCAAGTCAATCCTCCCCAGCAGCATTGAAACCCTCATCTGAGTGACCTCTGATGCATGCCTGCTCCAGGATAGGCTGCCACTTTTAGGGCACATGGGAAGGCCTTCCGGGACCGGAAGTATAAACCAGGAGCAAACGCTCAGGTTTGCCTGCAGAGCAGAGGCTCCCCGGAGTGGCGGAGAAAGCAGGATTCGGTGCGCAGTCCCATGATGAGCTGCACCTCAAAGGGAGGCCCACACCTGTTCTGCAGGTGGTAAGACCAGCTGTCCAGGTCAGCCAGGTGGGCGTGCCCAAGGGCATGTCCAACTCCCCAAGGGCACAGCACTCCGATAGTTCCCACAACCCTCCCCAGCCCTATGCTTAAGTCATGCAACACAAGAAGCAGCCTACCCCTTCTTGACACAGACAGGAAGCTGAGTTCAGAGGCAGCAAAGGAGATGAGTGCTCCCAGTCCTAAGTGGCTCCCAGCCACTCACCACCACTCTCGACCTCTTCCTAGTCCTCACAGTGGTCCTCTCAAGCTTAGGTTCCTTAGCTCCATTTTAGACACAGGGAAACTGACGCGTCTCGATTGTAAAGAACAGATTCCAACCCAAGTCTGGCACCAAAACTAGGCCCAAGGAAGCCACTCCAAAATCACCAACAAAGGGAAGGACAAATAGACTTCCAAATTTCTACCTAAGCTCCTGACCACCTTGGGAGGAGGCTCCCAGGTAGATGCCCTCAGCCAAAGCAAGTCAACCAACAGAGCCCAGCTGGGCCTCTCTGAGCCCAGGCCTGTCTCCTTCAGGGGGTCACCTGAATGGTGGGTCCTCAGGAGGGTGGAGCCCCCACCAGTGGCCCAGAGGCCATCCTGGAAACTCCCAGGCCTCCCCCAGCACCGAAGCTCTCAGACTGAGGGCGCAGGACCCGGCAGGTGGCTTTGACAGCAACCAGGTGAGCGCAACGTCCATACCTGCAATGTTCTCCTGCTTGGGGCAGATGCCTTTCGTGGGTGACAGCAGGTGGTCATCTTCATCGGGGGTCACCTGGATCCCGATCTCTACCGGCTCAGACACTTTCCTGAGCTCAGAGCGTGAGGAGGGTGGCGGGCTGCCCTTGTCCAGGCCTTTGTCATAGCAGGCACCCAGGCTGCCGCCACACTGCTTCTTCTTGTGCTCTATAAAAACCAGGATGTCCCCCAGGGGGAAGTTCATCTGACACTGGCCACAGGTGAGCAGGTCAGGGTCGGGGCCACCCACCATCAGCCCCAGGCCGCTGGGCTCCTCTATCTCCAGACCCTCGTCTTCCTCGAGGATGGCAGCCTCCACATGGTCAGCCTCTGCTGCAGACAGAAAGGAGACAGGGGAGGGGCAGAGAAGACAGATGGGCTTAGGCGATCACAAGCACCCAGCGCTCCTTCCACCCCTCCTTTCCCCACCAAGAAGCGGGTGCCCTCCGCCGCTGGCCGCTGGACCTCATCAGGTCTGCCCAGCACTGGCCCACGACGGACGGGCAAGCTGAGGCTCCGGGAGCAACAACCCAGCTCCCGAGGGTTAGCACTTAAGTAGAGGTGACCTTACTGCTTACTAACATCCCCCTACATAGCCTGAGAGCACAAGTATGTACACACACACCAAACATGTGCACAAACGCACACACCACATATCCTGGGTGCTCTCAGTATCAGTGGCCTTCGAAGGATCTCAGCATCACCTGGGAGTTTTGAAGAACCCCAGCACCCAGGCAGCAGCACCCCAGATCAATTGCACTGGAAACCAGACATGAGCATTTCCCAGGAAGCCCTAAATGATTCCAGTGGGCAGCCCAGGCTGAGAGGCAGTGAGCTAGAGACGTGTCACCCAGCTGGGGCAGGAGCTGCCACCTCCCTGCCCCAGGGCCTTCATTCATGTCATGTTCTCCCCATTCATGTCTGCCCCCCTTGCATTCCTGTACCTGAGGCCTGGCCGCACACCAGACTAGAAAACAGAAACCCAGACTGGTGCGTCAGAGGGCCAGTCCTTCGGGGAGGAAAAAAAAAAGAAAAAGGCCCACATGCTCAGAGAGCAACAAGTGAGTGTCAGGTTCCAAAAAATATGGGAAGGAAAAACAAAGCCACAGACAAGACTCCAGAGCGGGCCTGCTTGCGGAGGGGAGCTGGCAGGGCTGCCAGCGCTGTGCTCCGGCCCGCCGCCCTGGCTGTGTCCTCAGCTCCCCACTGCCCCTTTTCCGAGGTTGGCTTTATTTCCACCTCTCCCACCCCCAACCCCCCCAAAAAAGAAAAAATATCTTCAGACCCCAAAAGCGTTTCCTGGCACGTTTCAAAGCACATTTCAGTAGGCTACAGGCTTTCCCATCTCTTTAGCAGTTGGTGCATTTCCTCTTGTTGTTGAGTTTTGTTTGCTGGGTTTGGGAGGGGCCTGTTTTATTTTGTTTTGTGGAGGGCATCGGACCCCAATATTTGGAAGCTAATAAATGCCCCAGAAATCAGCCACCGCCTCGGGGGAAAAACTGAAACACTCCGCCGCTGAAAGTGTCATCGCTAAAGGGAAGTGGACAGTACGGAGGAGGCTTTGTGTGCCCCTCGGAGCCAGCACACTTGGCTTCGAGTTTCTCAAGAGTCAGTGTCAGCAGTGGTGTAGAAAACACAAGTGGTGGGGGGCTTCAGAGAACCACAGGTCCGAAAGCCGAGCAGACAGGTAACCCTTAAAGCTGTGCGGATCGAAAACCACAGAGGCTCGAGGACCAGGAGTGGAAAGCAGGAAACAGCATTCCGTGGCAGTGAAGTTACTGGAGGCCAGAGCCAAAGAACAGATAATTTAAGGAAAAAATTCTGTGGCATCTTCCATCCTCCCTATAAATCACTGCTGTGTGTTTTCTAACACAGGCTTGTGGGGCCTAGGAGAGCCGGGGTGAAAAACCCACTGAGTCCACGCCGCGTGACATGGAAGTGGCCGTAGCGGGGGGCGCAGGTATCGCCGAGGGGGAATCTGCGATGGGAAGCCCTGCCCGTGGTTCCGGTAAAGCAGGCAGGGCCCCCACAGAATTAAACACGGAAATGCATCAGCGACGTGGCAGGACAAAAACACCCTGCAGCCCAGGAAAAATCCTAAACGTCCTGTCGTGTGCAGATCACGAACAAAAAAAGAAAGGTCCGACAAGGTAAAGAAACAGTGCTCACAAAGCCGTGTCCCAGAAACCATTAATTACACTTTAAAAAGAAATCGGAGTTTACTTAAAAAGGAGTTCCAAGACAATGCTACATAATTAATTTACCAATTTATTTTATGAAAAGATGCTTTGCTCTGGTTAGAATGTAATCACAACCTTCTCGCTGAACAGCGGTTCGAGGGAGAGACTGGATTCCTGCGAACGGTTTGTCAGAACATAAAAGGTAATTATTCGGTGCCTCTTTTTCCTTTAACGATCTAACATTGAGCAATACTGTTTATATTGAAAAGCTCGCACCTTTAATTACCAATTACATATACAGAATTTCAGAGCCAAAGGAGAAGACTGTGCAAACAGTTCTTTAGAAATATAAGGATGTATTGTGCGCCATTTCTAGAGAAAGAGCACTAATAAATGGGAGGAGGATGTCAAAATATTGTTTTGTTAAAAAAAAAAAAAAGCACAAAGGAAGTGAGCTAAAAAGCAAAAAAATTTTAAAAAATAAAAAGACAAAACGAAATTGAGAATTCAAATGAAACTGAAGGGCAGCCCCTGGGACGGTTTTAAATGCCACCCCTGAGCAGGCTGCCAGGGGATCACAACAGCCCCGACAAACCCACATTCCCAACTGGATCATCCCTTCCGAGGGTTAACTGCATCTTCAGTGGACTTTCTAAAATTGTTTTTTATTAACCTTTGCAGCTACCTCCGCCCTCCTGGGTAGGAGCTCTCACAAGCATGAATATCTCCTCTCTCTGCTAGGAGCTGGGAGCGACAAAATTTGAAATGCATTTTCCAATTCAGAAGAAACACAGACTAATTTAAAATTAGCAAAGGCCACCTCTGCCTGTTCCCAAGCATCCCTCTCTGTCTCCAGTTACTCCCTTTGCCAAGACTGTACCACAGCTTCTTTTGTTGCCTTTTTTTTGGTAACATCTGGTATTCCTTCCCTTCTCTGGCAGCTCTGCCTTTTCACTTTCCTTGTGCAGCAGGTCCTGTGATCCCTGGTAATTGAGTTTGACCGTCCCCGGCAATGGTTACTGTGCTGTGGTTGGGATTTCACTATCGAGTCCCCCGACAGCCACACTCCAACTCAGGGCTTCCAGGGACGCCGACAGGAAAAGGAACCAGACCCCTTCCAAAAGGAAAAAAAAAAAACCTCCCTTCCCTCGCACTTTCAGCATTGAAGTTAAACTCCCTAAGATGATGGGGTGCTCCCCCTGCCAACTCCTGAGAAGGGGTGTCCTCTCCACCCCCACCCCAGGTTGTGGGGCTCTGAGCTTTGACCTGCTGTTGCGTGACATTCCTGAGGAAGGTGGCACGGTGGCCCCCTGTGTTCGGGCAGCAGGCAACCCCCAAACCACACAACTTGTGGGTCCCAGCAGGTGGACCAGCTTTGGGCCTGCAGGCTCCAGCTGGAGGCCTCCAGAGACACCCTAAATGCTGTGGTTTCATTTCCGCTGGCAGGCGGATACTGGGCCCGGCATGTAGGGTGCGTGTATGCGCGTGTGCATGTGTGGTGCAGGGTGTGTGTGTGTGTGTGTGTGTGTGTGTGTGTGTGTGTCCCTTCCTAGAACTGTATCAATAATAAGAGAGAAGGACAGAGCACCAAGCTCTGAAAGCAACAAGGAGGAAGAGTGTGGACCCGTGGGAAACCTCCTCTTCTGCCCATAGACACCTGAGTTTGGGTACCTCCAAGGACCAGGCCTCTGCAGGGACACGCAGCCGGTCAGCCCTGGCACCCAAAGCAGACAAAACACCAGCAAAGAGACCAACCCCCAGGCCCTCCTGCAGCCTCATTCAGCAAAGCCAGGCTTTCAAAACCAAGGCAAAGATGAGGTCTTCCTCTAAGACACTATGTGCTTTCGTGAACAGTTCCCCAAGTGCCAGGCAACCCTGCAAAGCATTCCTATTCCCCACATACTGTGAGTCTGATAAAGCAGAGCAGTTGCTAAAATGTTGACTCATTCAGAGGAGGAATGAATGGGTGCAGCAGGCGACCTGCTCAAATGTTACATGTTGGACGACCGGAGAGAGCTCTAAGTGTTAAATCCTAAAGTGCATGAAAAAAATATATATTTACACACACACACACACACACGAGTTAGATTTTTCTTTTACAACAAAACCACATTTTATTTACAAGGCTGGGCCTCCTCCCAGCTGGTAAGCGCATTTAGAAGCAATGAAATCAGGCTTCACAGATAATAATGGGCATCGTGGTTAAGTGGTGGGGGGAAGCACTTGATGCTAAGACAAACTTCCCCGTGTCTCAGTTCTGCTGTGAGGGAATCTGGAGCAGAAGACAGAAATGGAAAGACAGGGGAACGCTGGCAGCCAGCAGCCCCAGCTTCCTCCAGGGCTCGGAAAGGCCTTACCTGGCCAGCAAGTCCCCAACATGCACCTCCAAGCGCCCTACTCGCCAATGTCCAACTCTACAAATGGCCCTGCACCTGTCCTGGGCATCCCAGCCAAGAGGTCAGGCTCTCACTGTCCCCAGAGCCAGGGTATGTACCCCTGCCGCAAACACAGTGCACAAGCTCATGTTTCCTTTCCCGTGTCGACTCAAATCTAAATATCTGTCTGCAATGGCTTCACCCATCATGCAGGAGAAATAGATGCAGAATTATTGTTTCTGTGATGGGGGAGGTAAGGAGGGGGAAAGGTGGGGGGAGGGATGCCAGGCTCTTAAAATCCTGTGCCACCAACGTCACAGCCGCCATCGTGATATGTATGCGTGTTTACAAGAAATGTTCCGCATCCATCCGCCCAGCTCCGCATCCGACTGGAGACTTTACACCTGCTTCCTGCGAAGACGGAGCCACCACAGCCAGCCCATGCTTCCCAATGATCTGCAGAGGAATCTTTTTATTCTCCTCCCCGAGAGCGAGAGCGAGAGCGTGAGCGGTCGGGAGGGGCTGAGGCTCCGGGCGACACTGAACCGGCACCGGCACGCGCCCTCGCCGGAGCACAACATTTTCTGAGCTGCCATCAATTTTTAATTTATTGGATCCAAGGGAAAATAACAACCATGGGGAGGGGCAGGGGAGGAGGGACTGGGAGAGAGCAGGAATCAATTCTTGGTGGAGAAAATAATCTACAGCTAGATGACGCTTAAAGGTACGACAAGAGATTTTATGAAGTGCTCCCCACTGAGGAAATAATGAAGTG